GGCGACCGAGTCCACTGCAGCTAGGTATGATAGTGTTGGGATTGCCCTTAGTGACAGAACCGAAGCCATCCTTCTTGAGTGGATTCCCATCAACAGGCCTTTACGCTATGAGATTCCAAGACCCATCCAAAGTTAACAGGCGTCCAGAAAACGAACGCGCTCTATTTGTTATCTTCACATATGCGCCCACTGACGGTAGTCGTGATACAGTCAAAGATCCTTGATGACCTGCTTCAAAGGGCCCATAACGGACAGCATAGTTATGGCAAGGCATTACAACCACACACAACTCGTGTGTTGGTCATTTACTGCCAAGCGAACGCCATCTCGGAGGTTCGCATGAATACGATAACGTTCGGTCGGACAGTGAACAAAGGCTGCTCAGCCTCTGCATCGACCACCAGCTTTACCTATCCAATCTGAACTTTTGCCACCTGGCGTTCCACATCATCGTCGCCACATTGGTCCCAGATTGACCATATCGCCGGTGGCGTGGCAGTGTTCGAGACTACAGATCCTATCGGTCAAGTTAATTAATAATAATAGTAATAACAATAAAGTACATTCCTCTAAGTGGGGAGCTGCATCCATATTGGGCACAGATCATGTATGTACCGGTACCACTGTAAGAACTCGAAATGTAGGCGGTTGTTTACTGTGTCAACGTAACTAATACTAAGTGCATCCGTTCCGACAAATGAGGTATCCAATCATCTTCGCTACCCCAGCTTGAGGTTGCATGGCGCGCGTTTCCTTCTGTGTGCAGGGATGGTGTGGCGTGCACTGCTTGTGTGTCCATTCATCGCGCGCATACGATAGCGGTTCTAAAGTGTTCCTTTCCTTTGGGGAGTCAGTACGGCCTGTTGTTGGCTGGTTGCCGTTTCGCATCCTAACTTCCCATGCTACTGATAACTGGTGCAGTAGTGTCTCCCTTTAGTTCACCACATTACTATGCTCTTGCGTTAGCAATATTAAGTGGCGAATAAAAACAACGGTGTGTTCCTCGTCGGTGAGAGGTACAGGCCAACGAGATGTTACGATTCTTGATGTGCGGCGAAATCGCAAGATGCAGATGCTTTATTTTTCTAAATTCCGAAGCAGTTCAACTATTTAGAAGACATGGCTAATTGATCAGTTAAACTTTTCGGGAATATTGAAAGGTTGTCAAAAAATAATAAGTGTGGATAAATCCAAATATCTAAGTGAAATAATACAGCCATCCGTGGAACCATCTCCTGTATGCAATCCGACCATGCGCTGGTACGTGCGACGGTATACATACGCTTCGGTGACTTGCGTAAGATTAAACGAATTCGCTTGAACACTGGTGAATTGAAAGACTCCGCTGCTCAAGTGGAATCTCAACGGAGACTCCGTAACTTTTGCAGTACTACCGACTTCTACAGGTGGTGAATTGGAAGCCATTTTAGTCAAATATCAACATGTTTATGCTTTGTCAGAGGACGACATAGGACCATGCAATTTCTAACACCGAATCGACATATACAATATACTACCGACTGGACAACCAGTTAGATGTGTGCCTCTTCAGTTCCAGGAAGAACTAAAGTGCATTACGAAAGTTCTCTTACAACGCTACCGACAAAATCACCCATTGTACTTGTCAAAAAGTAAAGCGGACAACTGCGGCCAACCCTGTCCTCTGCATGTTCATTACATGCATGTCAGTGAAGAATGAGCCGCGCTGTACCGCAGTTAGATATCAGTTATGACGGTCCGTTGCCGTCACCCATGGCTCAGTGGCATAAGTCTCTGGCTCGTAAGAGTAAGGTCGTGAGTTCGAATCCGGCAGAATTTGGCGGGTGCGCGCTACTGACGTATCCCAACAGGACGAAACGATCGTCTAGCGCTTTCTTGGATGTGTGGTGGCTGTCCAACCGAGTCCAACTGCGATGAATCTACACAAAAAACTGCGGCTTCGTGTAGATTATCAGAAGATAAACTCGGTTACTCTAAAGAACCTTCCGTTACCAGGTATAGATAATACGATGGATGCTCTCAGTGGCTCACGTTGGTTTACTACCTTGAACATCGCTTCTTGTTGTTGGCATGTCCAGCTAAATCATGACAATAGGTACAAGTCAACGTTTCTCGTCTTGTTTGGGTTGTACGAATTTCAAATCATACCGATCGGTTTAACAAATGCCTCCGCAACGTTTCAGTGCTTGATGCACACAGCTCTAGCAGGTTGGAGACTGAAACACGGTCTACTTTACATGGACGACATCATTGCGCACGGCAGAACTATGGAAGAACGAAACCACTCTTTTAGCCTTGCTGGATTATCTATTGCAGCTGGGCTATAAACTCAAACCCTCAGTGTCAAATCCTAAAAGAACTGGCCTACCGCGGTAACATGGTGTTTGGAGAAGGAGTGCGCTTTGACCCGGCGAAAGTCGAGCAGTTCCGCTCATGATCAGTCCCAAAAATACGTTGACAAAGTGTGTAGCTTTCTCTGCCTTGTCTCTTACTATCGGCGGTTCGTTCGGCTATTTACTAACATCGTTAGCCCATTGAACGAACTTCTGAAGACTAGTCAAGCTTTCATTTGGAGGTGTGCAAGAAGAGGCATTTGAAGCACTTCGGACTGCATTGTGTGAAACACCGATTTTGACATTTGCTGACACGTATCCATCCACCAGTGACACTGGCATTGGAGCCGTACTCTCACAACGCACGACGAAACGAATCGAACCGATGACCGCGTGCACCAGTAGAAGTCTACCGCAATGAGTGCACAACACGGAAGGAAATTCTGGCGTTTGTGTTTTTCATCGAGCAATTTAGGCCGTAAATCCATTGTGCGTAGTGACCATCAGTCAGTCATCCGGCTTCAAACATTCCGGAACCCCCGAGGGACACATTGCCCGTTGGCATGAGCAGTTTGCAGGAATACAACTTTCAATGTCAACACCGCCGGGGCACAAAGCATGGGAATGTTGACGCCTTGCCCCGAAGGCCTATCAGGGATCATGGACCATGACCATCGTGCACAGCGGCTTGCGTAACTGTCGACATCCTGGACGCACTGGAGACAGAGAAATGGATTGAGTTGCAGTCGATGGACTGAGCTGAGGCTCTTGTATAATTGCATCGTTCGGAATACAGATAGGAGCTAGCAGGCGCAAATTGGGAAACCAAATACAGTGATGACAGAACCGTGTGCACAAGACAAGCTACTGAGTCTTGGATCGACTTCGAACTGCGGGTGACAAGTTGTACCAGCATCCTCACAGAAATAATTTTTTGAATACCTTTAAGGCAACCGAAGTACAAGCAATCCGTCGATATTTAGAGATCTATTTTGGGATTGGTGTGATATTGACGCCTCTCGAGCATCCGGAAACTTTATATTGTTGAATGCACAATGTATACAAAGTACCCAGAAGTTCGACCAGAAAGTCAGTATATTCTTTAAGGACAACGAAAGACAGACTATCTTAACCACTTGCTTTCCCTGAGTGAGGCTGTTTCAATAACTTGTGTACAGTGCCGCTATCAATAAGGGGTGGTGTGTCTGCAGACAATTTATGCTTCACAAAGAATGATTCAGAGATCGGATTTGTGTAGCAGTTACAGAAGTCGTGGTTCAATTTCTTCACATCTACATCGGAGGTTGATGTACGTCGAGTAACATCGCTTAGTTGTTTTAACACCCCCCAGAGTTCACGGCAGCCACTATTCCCAAGTATAGCCTGAAGGTACACGCCGTTGTGACGATGCATGTATTAGTGGATAATGACTTTTTCTTTGAAAGCTTTCCTCTTGTCTATGTGGCCACTTCAGGTGGGGAAAAGATAACCTGTCCGCACGGATGGACACAGTGTCACACGCACAGCCACTGTCAGAACAAATTTTCAAGTAACTTGTCAACTGATGGCAATACATCAGAATCGAAAAATAAACTGTGGTCATTGGATGATGTAATTCCTCGCAGTCGACTAATATTCTGTGGGGAACACCGTTTCCACATGAACTTGCGATCGTTGCTACGAGTAGCCACCTCATGGTAGAGCACAGGACACAGTTTAATTGCTGAGTGATCAGAGCTGCCTAACAGTGCCCTATTACACACGGGAAACAGCTCCACGTTGTTAACAAATACTAGATCAAGAGTCGCATTGGATCTAGTGGGGCAATTTGTAAAGTTTTGCAGCCCAAAGCTTGTGAGAACAGCGGTGTTAAATCGGTCGAAAGTATGAGCAAAAGTACAGAGTGAACAATCGGTGTGTTTTATAATAGTCCCAGTAAATGCATCGTAAAATGCCTCTGCTTCACGTTCCGGACAAGTGGGGGTAATATAGATATTAAGCAGTAAGATTGAGCGGTACGCACTGATACATTTTGGCTTTCACCTCAGAAGTAACCAACTATTACGCTGAGAAGAGAAGCAAAACAATACTTTCGCAGATACGCAACAGGACGTGTCGGTGTAAATGATGACTTCACCGCTACGGTTACGGGAAGCACAAGAGCGGTCGACTCGATGAACCCTTCAACCCATACACATGCGTAGTCTACATCCTCATGAAGCCAGGTCTCTTGCAGCAAAATGAGGCCTAGCTTCGAATATTCTAGGGCGTTGATGGTATTTGTTAGTTCATCCATACTTCTAAAAGCGGACGGATGTTTGAGGCAATATAGGTATTTTCATGCTCAGCAGCTTTTTTTCTTTCGAAAAGCAACCTTCCACCCAACGTGATGTTTTCTAGCACAATTATCGCACTTCTTGTAAATTTGTAGCTAATAAAACTCGATTAATTCCATAAAACTGGCAATAATACCCCAGAACTGATTTAGCTGCTAATAGATTAACAGGTGGCATTTTGCAGGGAGACAATTGATATTTACATGTCTGAAACTTTTACAATTTTGGCTAAGATGCATGTCGATTTTGTGCAATGATTCCGCGCTGTATTGGTCCGTGGCTTTTCAAACGACGGGATTCCCGTTAACGATTCCTGTCAATGCCTTCAAGATTTGAGACGTCTGACTGTAGTGTCAGTCAAGCAGCACAAACCGCTGTGGTTTGGATTTGGGCCGTACATAAATAAATAAATTTGTATATTTACCGACAGACGGTACACGGCCCCATATAGTGCTCAACTCTGGAACTATTTTAGGTCGTCTCCAATTCATCATTCCACTTGCTCGTCGCACGCTCTATCCACCGAATCGGATGTACAATCTGCATCCTATGATTTGAATTAACAACGTTAAGCTGTACAATCGAGAAGCAGAACGTACTTGCGTTTAAATCGGCGCCAGCCCAGAGGAGTAGCTGTACACACGCTACTTGGTTCCAAAATGCGGCACTGTGTAGTGGAGTCCAGCCGTCTTCTGTTCGACTGTTGACATCACCACCCAATTTGAGTAAGTGCTAACAAAAAAGTAACCATCAGAAAGCAGTGTGCTAACAGAACAAATCCGGTAAAAGTGAGAAATGCACAAACAGATCTCTTTGAGATAAAAAGAAAACATACCTCTACCACATGAACGTGTCCTCCGTAAGCCGCTCGGTGTAAAGCTGTGTAGCCGTCTTTGTCCTTTGCGGCCAACAGTTCCATCAAGGTTGGGTGTGGAGCATTTGGTATCGGTTTTAGTGCCCGCGTGATTATTTCGCTAACCGTTTCCAAAGTTCCATTCTCAGCAGCCACAATGAACCGCTTGATAGGATCGGCTGTTTAGTGTTTAGTATAGTACAGTGATTATAGATTGAGCTGCTGAAGGTGAGCTGATTTAATGCATTAAATGAATAAGAGATGAAAAACAAGTAAAAAGTGCCTTATTCGTGTAGAAATCGATGGAGCACATATTTACTGGATACCCTAGTTGGCATAGCGAAGAGTCGACCTCAATGGAGTTTGTGTTGTGAGTTCCTTTGTCCCTCCGCCTCCCCTTTATCTTTCGATTCCAACAACGGTCTCATACCCGATGCATAATATTATATTTAGCGTTATACTTGTTCTTTTAGTATTTGTAGTCTGTGATGCTTAATATCCTTTTGTGTTGCGGCATAGTAACTGAGATGTGTTTCTCACCCTCCGCTAATGTGTATTGATGGCGATTATGTCAGAGAGCGCGTACTCGACGGTGGTAGATCACACGCTATCTTCAGTTGCTCATTCGTTCGCCGAGCTTGGAAATTTGTCTGCAAACATTTCATTACCATGCGAGGTGGCATCATTAGTGCGCTGAGATGTAGAATGTAATCTCGTTGATTGAATTGTCGATCCGTGATCGGCGTGCAGGTGACTTTTTGTAAGTGACGGCTTCGATCTGCGCCACGTGATCCCTACCCATTTTCCCCGTGGCGGAAGTCGTCACTCGAGTTACTCCTATTCAAGCGGCGCCTTGTAATTTCTCTAAGTTCTTTCCGTCGGAGGGGCCACAAAGTAAGCTTGTGCGGACACTATTTGATAGGGTGTAAACGCACTGCAGTACCGCGGAGACAGCAAAAATTCAACGGATACACACGAAACTTCATCCGAAGATGTCTGAACCACAACAAAGCAAACCATACAGTGTACACCATCGACGGAGAGACGCGTTATTTTGCCCTATATGAAAAACATCCGAAATGACGGTAAGACTATTCAAACAGCATCACCTCATCGTAGCACACAAACCAACTGCCACGTTGAGGAAAACTGTGTCAACACCAAAAGAAAAACTGGAAGCTTATGGGCAACGTACTGTCATATTAGACTACGTTGTAGAAATTGCGAAAAGGACGATGTTGGCCAAACATGTAGCAAATTAGCAACATGAATACAACAGCGTGCAAAAGGCACTGCTTCAGCGCACATGGACGGAAAGCAACACAGCATCGATTGGGCCAAAACAGAAGTCCTGGCACAAGGCGAAACAAGAAGAGAAAGGGAGTTCCTGGAAGCGTGGTTCTCAACAAAAGTCTCAATCAACATCGACCCAGTTTACCAGACCCTCCGACGGAAAGAACTTAGAGAAATTACAAGGCGCCGCTTGAATAGGAACAACTCGAGTGACGACTTCCGCCACGGGGAAAATAGGTAGGGATCACGTGGCGCAGATTGAAGCAGTCACTTACCGAAAGTCACTTGCACGCCGATCACGGATCGACAATTCAATCAGCGAGATTACACTCTACATCTCAGCGCACTAATGATGCCACCTCGCATGGTGACGAAATGTTTGCAGACAAACATTTCCAAGCTCAGCGAACGAATGAGCAACTAAATCGCCAACCCAAGTTACCAGTTTTCCGAAACATGGTGTGTTGACCAGTTCGACTCGGAGCTGTTTAAACGTCCAAACGACCGATTGGAAGAGAAACCGCGCTGATACAAAGTAGAGCGCAGATGAGTCTCTGAAGTAGAGCTTGGCAGAGGGGGAGAGATGAATCGATGATGTGTGACAAAAAACAAAGGCCTCTGAAGGTAGTAGGCTAATAGTGTTACTAACACTTGCTTTGCCTTCGCATCACGTACGAGAAAGGACTGCAAGAGCACAGATTAATAATGCTCCAGTTAAGGACTTGGTGTAAATTTAAGCCACAGTAACAATGTGAGGGAAATTATGACCTCTCCCTAGAAGACATGGGTCGTGGACAGTTGTCTAACATTCGGCAACCGAGTTTTGGTATGAATGAAGAGAAGTGAATCCTACAGCTGTTCTATATGGGATATAATGGAACCACCTGAATGAAGGCTCTGGCACAAGGTCTTGTTTACTGGCCCTAGACGGACTTCAACATTGAACAGTTTTGCCAACAACAGAAATCCTGTTAACTGGAAAAACTCGACCAAGTGTTCGTGGCAACCTACCTGGTAAATTGGACTCAGACGCCCTCTTGCTAACAATGTACAAATTCCGCTGATCCCACCCAAAATGTCTGTAGTAACCTTGGTCGTGGCGAAGAATCCAATTGGACTATGCGGAACCAATCAATGACCAATCCGGTGTGATTTCGGCGGATTTCTTCACTAAGCGTTCGGACGTCATCATTACACATTAGCTGATTCTGAAAAACGCACTTCAACCATACCGACGTCATACATGAAAAAACGACAAACGAGACATCATAAAATACAAAATCTAACGGGAAATATACTACTTAGTGGCATATTCAGCTTCATGACTGATATTGGGGTTAGAATGTGTAATAGATTTGCGCAGACATGGTCGCATTAGCTTAGGTGAGAGTTACGCGCAACCTGAGCACGGACCCTATTCACGTGTGTATTCGGGTGACACACTCAGTTCTCGAAAACGGACAACGACACGCACACGACCTGGTAACTCTGCGTAGCAAAGCCCACGCACTGACGTTTGTGGCGTATTTTTGCGGGGATACTTGACGTGCCCGCAACACCTCCCTTTGAAGATAATGTGTATCGTTTCTGACGAGGATTGACCTGGAGGGATTTCGGATTCTTCTTGTTCGTCGGGAAGGCGGGTTCTCCAGACGTAACGGTGACTGGACGGCTTCGACCGTGGTCTACCACTGCGTAGTCATTCCGAAGGTATCCAACAAGATGTGCAGCGACAGGTGCACAGGAAAATTGACTGGCGTGGAGGGTTCTCCGTGGCGCGGTCGAGGTTGATTGCGATGGCAGAAACACGTATCATCAGCCACGGAGATATCATGCAGCATATGACCTCGACGGGCCATCACTGTTGCTTTAATCCACCGTAGAGGACGTGCACGATAGTCGCGAGCGTAGACCGGCGCTCCAACGACAAACACATTTAAAGCAGTTAGTTCCCTTCAGAAATTTGAAAAGCACGGTAAGTTAAGTATAGAGTTGCATACCGGTTGTTGTTAATGGTACTGAGGAGACAATGCGAAATGCATGCATCTACTAGCTTTCGTCTTCTTATCGTGCTTTCCAGACGAACTCGTTGTGCTTGGTGCAGGTAGCAGGTTGACTTGGTGGCTTTTCGGTCGGGATGAGCGCTTCGTTAGTGATGTGTAGCTTGCGGCCCATCAGTGCTTCAGCCGGAGACTGGTATCCTGGAGCAGTTGGATTTGATGTGGACGCTTGAAGGCATTCATCCAACATCCGCTCCCCACGAGATTTCAAGAGTGCCTTCTTAATGATGTGGACAAACCTCTCCGCTTGACCATTAGAGTGGGGATGGTAGGGCGTTGAGCGTAGGTGTTGGATGCAATGCCAGCGACAAAAGAATTCGAACATAGAAGACGTAAACTTGGAGCCATTGTCGGACACCAAGACGTCGGGAAGTCCATGCTGACTGAAGAATCGTTGTAGACAACTTAGCATAGCGGATGCGGTTGGTGGGTTGAGGGCGACCACTTCAGGCCATTTGGAATAGGAACTATTGGTTGGTGTGGTGACACCTTGGATGCTTGTTGCAACGGCGAACCAAATTTTCAATGTCCTTGTCAATGCCAGGCTAGTACACATAACCGCGAGCGATTGCCTTCATTCTGTTCATACCGGGGTGAGCAGAATGGCGGAGTACAGCTTGCCGGAGGCATGAAGGAACAATTCGATCTGCAGTCATGAGACAGGAATCGACCACGAAAAAGATGTCGCGGCGTTGATACAGTAGTTTCAGTTCGCCAGAAAAGGCAATGTTTGGCCAGCGCGTCCGAAAATAAGTGACAGCTTTCTGCAGGATAGGGTCTTGAGCAGTTGCGCGACGTATGTCGCCGGCAGTAATAGGGAGACTTCGGATAGCGTTCGAGAGTTGATGACGAACGTCATCCTCTACGGTAACAGCCGCGATCACTGTGTCTTCCCCTGTGGCATGTTTGAAAATGAGGGGAGAGAGTCTGTCGGCTTGACCGAAATCCTGAGTACGACAGTAGCGGATTTCGAAGTCGTAACCAAGAAGCATGACAGTCCAACGCTGAATTCGGCTAGCGGTGTGCGTGAATGCCCGTCTTTGAACCGAAAATTGAAAGTAGTGGCTTGTGATCGGTCAATAGCGTGAATCGCCGGTCATACAGCATCTTTTGGAACTTGGTGACGGCAAACACGACAGCGAGGGCTTCATTCTCAGTCTGGCCATATTTCTCTGTAGACTTCAGGGTATGTGAGACGTGCATAAACGCTTTTTCGGAACCATTTGGGAAGCGAAGGAGAGAACTGCTCCGATCCCGTAGGCAGAGGCGTCATCAGCGACCAAAATCGGCAAGTTTAGGTCGTAATGGATCAGCAGCAGGTCTAAACTCAGCACGGATTTCAGACGAACGAAGGCCTTCTCGCATCCGGGGGACCAGTGCCAAGGGACGTGCTTCTGTTACAACCGATTGAGCGGGGTTTGAACATCGTACAGCGATGACAGGAAGGCGCTGTAGTAGATGATGAGACCCAGGAAGCACCGGTTTCGACACATGCGCTGAAGCTGGCGTTGGCTGGATGGCTCTGACGTTCTCAGGATCACGGTGACGTCCACTGGCATCGAAAAAGAAAACCAAGGTATTTAACCGATGAAAGAAAGAATTGACATTTCTCGGCTTTTAAGCGGAAGGCATACTCCTGGACACAACGAAGGACTGCAACCAGGCGCTCTCAAAGCTCTTCTGAGGTGCGACCAACGATGAGTAGCTCGTCCAGATACGCGGCCGTACCTGGAATACCAGAGATCATGGGGTCCATCGTCTGTTGGAAAATGGACGGAGCGGTTTTGAAAACAAACTGGAGCCTGATATACTGGAGAAGACCACGA